TAGATAGATATATAGATAGATAGAGAGATAGATAGATAGATAGATATATAGATAGATAGATAGATAAAGGGAGAGAGAGAGAGAGGCAGAGAGAAAGAGATGAAGGAAGGAAGGAAGGACCAGCCCACCCACCTCTGGCATTTACAGCCAAATCAGTGATTTTGGCCCTTTCAGCCCAATCAACGTGCATTAATTAAGCACTTCCCTTTGCTTAAGAAACTGAGTTTTGTCAATTCACTGCCGATACCCATGTGTCAAGGTGAAGTCCCTTTCCTTCCCAAAAGTGTTAATTCAATTAAACAAATTTCTAATCAGAAGCAAGAACCGCATCAAAAGCTCTTCAACCTGACACTTAAAACAGGATAAATTTCACCTGAAAAGCAGGGGGGCTTAAAAAGGCATCCTTTCTGCTTTACTGATCAGGCTGTGAACGCCATAAAAATCCCTCTTTTTCCCTCACTCATCCTGCAGAACTAATTTTAATGGTTTTAGAGGAACGGCTGGCAATTCAGGGTCTTGCGGATCCGTTAAGGAGAGGATTTGAGCCAACACCATTAAAGGAGGGGTGATGGTGGAAGAAATTTGATCAATTTAGAAAATAATTGCACACAGAGCATTTCTCTTGGCAATGGCTGGTTTTGCTGAATCAGATTCTGGCTTGGTCTAAGAAGGTCCTAAGAGTTTTTATACCCCTAGAAAATTCCCCATTTGCTCATTTTAAGGGGCAGAATGCTACCTATTACTAAGTTGGATCTAGCTCAGCTTTTGTTAATATTTGGGGTATCTTCCTTTTTTTTTTTAACAAGCAGGGAAAGGTATTTTTCTGACACCCCTGAATTATTTTTCCAAATTTCCAAACATAGTAACAGGCATTTCTACCAAAAAAAAAAAAGAGTGGGAATTAATTCATGAGGCAATTTGAAATTCCTACTTCATCCTAGCTTGGATTTTCATGGTCTCCTCAAATTGAGGCCCCCACCAAAAAGAACAATGTGAAAAGCTACCAGGGGAAACATTGCTAAAAGTTAAACCTGCAGGCTTTCAGGATTAGTGTTCTGCCTGCATTTTTTTTTTTAAATCCAAGACAATGGATACAAGAGAAAAAAACTGACCTAAATCTGTGTGGTTACTCATCCAACCGATTGATTTGAGAGACACCAATTCCAGGAGTCCGGAGCCCACGAAAGACCCAATTCCAGAAAAAAAGAAGAAGAGACCCATAATTGCACTCTGCATCGATTTGGGAGCAGCAGAGTAGGCAAATTCCAAACCTAAAACATAAGCAGAGACAAACCATGGTGAGTTCCCCAGGCAAGCTTCAAGGAAAAACTTTGGTTTATCTGCCTTGAATCTCCCCCCTCTCTATTTCACTTGAGTGGTGATGTTAGGAGAAGAACTGAAGTCGCTCTCGGAACACTACTGAAAACATGGATTTTCCATCGTTTAAAATGTATTTGCCTTTTAAAATTTGCACTCCAGGTTTTAAACTCTGCTTTATGGTGTTCTCACGCTTGACAGAGATGGTGTGGACGTTGTGTTTGGAAATA